GTTAAATAAAACAGAATGCAACCTTATTTTCGAAATAATCGGCCATGCTGATTTGGCAACTGCTTTGTCCATAGCATGATGCCTTCCTTTCATAGCTTTGAAAGTCGACTTTTTTGCAGTCTGCGATGAACTCTGACAGTAGCACGTCCCTTAACGGTAGTGCTCACTGCGAAGCAGTGCGATATGTTTTGCATTAAGATATTAGAAAGTCACGTTAAACATGTCATGAAATCAGCTTTTGTCGTTCTGACAACATAGCGATTTTGAAGAGATGGTCATCTTAACCGCGTATCTCCCTTCATCGTTCTTTATTGTCTCGTTTGTGACCATTTTGCCGACATGTTTAGAAGTCTCCGACGAAGCAGTTGAGCCATTCGATCAGTAAATCGCTACAGTGCGTACCAAGTCATTCTGAGAAAAAATTCTCATTCTCCGACTACCCGGACAGGCCGCTGGATCTGGCGAATGTCGTGTAAGCAAAGTCTTGACTGTGTGCCATGGAGCCAACGCTAGAGGGTACGTGGTTTTTAGGCCAACGTCGCCTTCGCTGGTCAGAAGCAACGTACTTGCGCACACTGATGAGATGCCTCTATATGGCGACATTGTCAGTGACAGTCACGCATGTCTAGTCAGGTAAGCGGTTGAGATTGTAGGTTACTAACCGCATTGTTGTTATGTTGTTCGTCTTCACTTTTTTGTAGTTTCTTCTGTTCGATTTCTGTTCTAGCCCTGGTCACTTTTCAGTCGACGAACGAAACACGGACGACGAACACAAACTCATTGCGCGGTACTCCGCGAAGCTGTCCGGTAGAGCAACGGTACGCGACCTTCTCTTTTTGTTTTTCTCAACCTCCCTTTCATCTGACATCGGAAGGTTGAGCGGAATGTTTTTTTCTCAGAAGTTTCTGCTAGCTCAGTGTCAGCGAATAGGTGAGCAGTAAGTGTCATCCGGCGTTCACTGGAATGACAACATCGTTAATTTTGGGTCATTTTCTCGCTTAGTTGTTTAATGTTTACATGAAATCTCTTTACATGTTATTTAATCTTCATTCTCTGATACGCGCCTAACGCAGTCTTGTTTTTGTTTCAAAGTTTTTGCCCATAAATCATCCTCTTTTCATATGGCTACCATAAAGGGATTTCACTCTGTTTTCATGGTGATTAATATTGCTAATATGGATTCGATTCCTTTCGTTTGGAAATAAAAGGAAGACTTCACATTCATAAATGTGAGTGCAACCTTAGCGTTCAGAGACGCCATTAACGAACTAGTTAACGGTTATGGACAGAGTCAGCGCAGGCAAAAAAGCAGCGGTGTGTGACACCACGCAGGTTAAAGCAGCGAAAACTTCATAATTAAACTGATCATAGATGCATATAACATTACAGTACAGGTTGACAAGAGTAGCAATGTCTTCTGTAGCAAATGTCCGTTTGGGAAGTTCTTTTGCAAACTATCTGTGATCCTTGTAATGGTATTCATGTCGGAAATACTTTCAGAAATAAAGGCACTCTAGAGGTATTACGAACAGTCAGTCCTGCTGGCTATTCGGTACTTGTAACCATGCCTTCGATTGGCATCGTTCGTCGAGGACGTTGCATTCATCCATGTCACTGAATAAAATAGAGAAAAATGTAAGTTGATAAGCAAAGATATGGCTGCATATCTTTTCGACAGAAGGATTTGGGCCTACCGTTCGTATTAATGCTTAACGACGGCATGGTAAAATCTTTCTATCATGCCATTTGCTCTGTGAACGGAAGATGATGATCAACAAGTCAGCAAGACAAACGGAAGGTTCTCTAAATGCTTGATGGATGATATCAGGAAACGGAGAGAAAACTAACCTTACTGGCATCGTTTGGAATGCGGCGTCTTTGAAAATACGGCGCAGTGGTGTTGCCCAAACATGTATGTTGATGTTGCCTTTTTTTCTGAACAGTCTATGGCATTTTCATTTCGCGTGGCGTATCAGTGCCCAAAAGAACAGCGTGTAAAAAACTGCTTTTACGCCTTTCCGGTGCCAAGCAGGTGTGGTTCGTCATCGGACGGTCCGGTCTTTTTTCACTAATCATCAGTTGCCTTATAATCGAAGTTCGTGAATAGTTACTACGGAATAGGCTGGAAGTGAGTCGGGAATTGAATTGCAGTTATCAGCTTCATCCCTTGTTCAGACTAGCATTCGTATGCAGTTTGCGTTCTTGTGTACTTTTGCAGCCAGATGTATAAATTGGCTTAACCTCAAAGTCACTCAAGTAAACTGATTAATTTGACTCGACTAAATGGCTGTGCTCATCCAAATTAGACGTACCGGTCGGTATTCGGCGACGAGTCGCGCAAGCAGCAGCACTTTGTGCTGTCATCTCGCATGACGTTCTGTTGTCCCCTGGAAGGGCTGACGATGGCGTGTGGAGTTTTGTGCTAACGAGTCCCTCAGTTCCGTCTGATTTTTCATGGACGTTTTATCATGGACGTTCTAACCTTGAACGAATCGACACTTGATCCCAACGCAGCAGTGACATTGGGAGCTTTTTTCTTTATAGGACCGGGTCGCTTTTGCTTCTCATGAGATTGTCATTGGGCATTGTGACTTTTCGAATGAACAAACCTGTCGAGCTCGAATTCAGCCACGTCCTGGTGGTCTCATCGTTGCCTGTCCGCGACGGCTTATTTGTTACAGCTAGCCTTCATATTTGGAGAGCGTACCTCTATCCGCAACCTGGGGACGCGCCAAATGGTCAGCTGCTAGGCACATTGAAGGGCTGTTGTGGCATGTTGAATTGTTCTAAAATGTGGAGTTGTATAACCTGCTTTAGAGAATGGCAGTGTTATTGCCCATGCAGGCATTACATTTTGCTTGTTGTGTTCTTTTCTCTGTGATCTATTCATTCAGTTTTTTTGAGTTCTTGTTCATTTAATCTGGACGGTACCGTATGTCTTGCTGCATTTGTACATCCGTTTACTCTTGGTCACCATGGCAGACACTCATCTTTTCAAACTTTTCTAATTAATCCAAATATACATGAAGAAGTGTTTTCCATTTTTTCGCAAATCTTGTTTTTCTTATTTATTCCGACAGAGTACTTTGAAAATCGTTTATTTAACCAAAGCTTAAAAAACAAAAATCTGACGAGAATCTTCCTACTCTTATACCTTGCCTTATCAGTGATTGCGGATTGGCTCTTTCCTCTTTGAGTCCGCGATCAGATGCTATCTGTAGCGCAATTGCAAAAGATTAGTTTAGTATCTGTGTGCATCGATGAACAGTGGTCTGGACGAGAACGGCTCTCAGAGAGCAGCCGTAGCGAGGCTGGAGCAAAAGAACAAGTAAGCAGCTTTATGTGTTTCTTGAATTTAGTTATTAACCATTGTTCTTCAGGGAAATCCTTCGCGAAATACAAAAACTGCAGGCTATGCAAAGTGCTAATAGTCTCGCTGGTATGTCAGCCGCCGCCGGTTCCGCCGAGAACGGATTGGCGTTGGAGCTTGACTCTTTGAGGCAACGCAAGACGGAACTGGAATTGCGAATGGAACAGCTGCGGGATACGAGGCAGGAGCTGATGAGTCAGCTTGAGTCACTGATGCAAGTTTTGAAGGTATGTGACTTTTTAATGAACTGTTGCTTAGTTTTGTAGTCTTATAGGACCTGGATTTGTTCGTAGTAATTGGCTGTTTAAACATAATAGTAAAAATAGCATGGGGAAGGTTCGGGGTTGCAGATGGGAAGACTGAAAGCTTTTTGCCTCTGAATTAGATCGCCTAGGAATCTTTTTTGTCATAAATTAAAGTAACATGAGCACGAAGAAGAAGAAGAAAAGTACATTGAAAAGTGATGAACGAATACGTGAATCAGTTGCTATGAACAGTTACAAAATCATGTGGAGAAATAATAGGTTTATGTATGCTGCCTTGAAGAAATGGACGAACGTATAGAATGTTTAGTTAATTTTTTAAAATATTCGTACTACTTTTCAAGGTAGTACTTTTTCTTAAATATATTTTAAATCAAAAGATCTATGCGCTGGTTTTCGGTTACAGTTTAAAAATATTAATTTATTGGATAGACTTTTTCTTTTTTAAATTATTTAAATACTTTAGTTTGCTTGGGACTGCGCAACCACTGTTTAATCCGGATCAAGGTCTACAACGATCTTGCGTCCCAAGATTGCGAACCGTCTGTGGATAGAGTCAATCCTAGTGTTGTTGTCCTTCGTTTTTTTTTTATGAGGGCTGTTTTGGTGCCGGGTTAGTGGCTTTTCATGATGCCTTTTTAACTTTTTTGTATTATGGCAAAAGTATGATGATTATTACAATGGTTATAACGGGATACACGAATTCAGTTAGCAAACATTATTGACAATTCAATCATTTACCAGAAAAGCCAAGCTGGTCTGATTTTTTAAGTTTCTTCCTGCTTGTTGATCATGTCATTTGTGCCCCACCGTGACCGCTTCCAGAATCTTTTTATCCAGTAGTTGGCTTCCGTTTGGACGATGCTGCTTGCACAGTCTTTTTAATATGCTCGGTTAAGATTATTCATGTGTTCGGTGACCCGGCTGTTGTTTTCTGCCGGTTTCTTCAGTGTAGCTCTCCCAGCACAAATAGTTTATTCGGTATACTATCCCAGGATCCTTTTGTCTTTGTATGATGCGTTTCTTGTCTAGAAGGTTGCTAGATTTGGCTTTATGGATCTGTAAACCGTGCTTACCCGGTGCCTGATCATGAAACGTTTTATATTTTTAAATGAGCTCTTTAGGTACAGGATGACGAGAAAGGGTGACTTCGGAAGTCTTCTCTTGTGGTTGTAGTTCTGAATTCTTAATCATGTTTAACTTTGTCCAGTCCATTCTGTGGGATCAGTCCAATTTGTGGAATTGTTTGTGGGTGAAGGTCTTCGGATACCGAATTTTTTTCTCAGTTTCTGTCAGGTTTGCTGTACAACTTATGGAGTGTTGATGAGCCTCCGCACAGCCTTGCGTTTAGGAACTATAGCATTTGAACTAGTCTTGCTTTTGTAAATGTTTGGGTGTGGGAACGAGAGTTGATTTAGCGTTCGGGGGGTGTGTGTGTGTGAGTCAGTTTCTTTGTACAGTGATGTTTGATGTTTCGTTCCTCCTGTTACCAGCACATTTAGAAATCGAAGTTATCTCTATATATGTAAATTATTTTTAATGTGTAATATACATTTGCACAATGAAAGATTTTACAAACGAGGCTATGAATAAAACTGTCTTTACCGATCGATTAAACCGCTGTCACAAAACCTGCAGGAGAACTAAACTGTCCGTATGGTTCAAATCTTTGCGAGCGTACCCGAATCTCAAGTTTACATTGATAGCTTAACTGCCGTTTCAGCCGTTCATGACCTGTGGTTCGATAAAGGATTCTGAAAAATGTCAGTGCAGTAGAAGCTGGTGATGACAAACCACATTTCTGGACAGAATTTTTGACGCTACATTAAGTTCGGCATTGTGCTTTTGCTTAATGGCCGTATGCACTCATCGCTCTAGAATATTGTGACCAGGCTTTGCGGTATTTTGCTCAACCTCAGTAGTGGCCTCGATGCTGAACGTGCACTTTGCTTAGTGTGTACCAATGTGACATCTGAATACGACGGGTTGCAGGTTAAATTTTTTTGGATATTTCAGTCTAAATATTTCAGTATGAACTTGCGGAACGGTTCTCGTTAATCGACGCTGTTTTGAAAGATCAAAAGTCATAGCTTATAATTGCAAAGGTGTGGTTTCATTCTCGATAACGATTCCATTCAAAGCTTGACCTCTTGCCTCTAAAACGTCAACAAAGTTCGAGTCATTTTAAGGCAAGCTAGATTTTTTAAGACAACATCGTATCGTCATCAGCTGGAATGACTATACGCTGAATGCGGAGCTTGGCCAGATGTAATTATGCCTAATCAGAATGACCAGATCCATATGTGTCGGTGCAGTTTGCTAACGCAGTGATCATATTCTTTGTTCTAAGGAGGTTTGGTTCTGGCAGGTACTTCTGAAAACTACATTGCAGTTCAACGCTTCTGTGACTAGTTAATGGTTTCAATATGGAAAAGCTTGTAAATATATTTTGGTCTATTATATTTTATTTAAGTTGCGCTTTGTATCATCGATATTAGGCAGATCGCTTGACATTTTTGGGATTTTCACGTACATCTGAACAGTTTTAGTGACGTGCAGATTATCAGCTAACCTGAGAGACCTACGATATGATCAGCATATGATACTTCTTTGAAGTAATTTTTTGAATCACCACACGGTTTCTGATTCGGTTCGTTGTAAGCTGGGGATGTTAAAGCGGAACCGTTTGGTAGTCCAAATGCGTCCATTGAAAATATCGACATGTTATATGACATGTGGTATCTACGAATCTCCTGCCGTAGCTTCAAGTCTAACGAACGGATCGTAAAAGAACTTGACACAACGTTCGCAACTTTTCAGGAATATGCACAAGGAGAATGATGTTTTTTCCACCTCATGATGGAACGTTCCCACTGTTTGAGTAAATATGACTATAAACTTCTCCAGACGCGAGAAAACTTATTCAATGCTGGACGGCGGCGTTTGGAAGTGAATAGGAATGAACGATGTTATTCGCTTCATGAGAATTACATAAGACAGATAGGTAGCATGAAGTTATGCATTATCCTGTTTACTCTCTGAAATTACAAGGCCATTGCACTTTCTGTATTTTCCAACTGTCGGTGAAAACTATCTTCTCGCCCTTGTCCCATGAAGCAGATAACGATCAAAGTATGGGGTTGCTCTGTCAGGTAAAGTGCGTTGGGACTTGTTCCTTTTAGTCGATACTCTTGCCGTTAAAGCCTATCGTGAACCCTACAACTGTCGGCCAGCAAGGCTTTGGTGGACTATTATAAAATCCTGACTGGTGGTTGGAAAGCAGCTAGCACTGTTCAGTCGATTTGCAAATAAGTTCTCGTCCATTGAAGCCGATGGCGGCATCTGATTTACAAGCATCCATCTGCCCACATGGAGTATTGCGCTGTCCGTCTCCTTTACTCGAAGAAAATAATAGAAAGCGACAAGCAGTCAGAAGAAATATGAACTCAAATTACTACACCGAGGACATTATTCTGAGTGGCTCCACGGTCTCCGTTGACTGTGCGCACAGATGAGGACCATCGATAGATAACATTACAGCAAGGCTGAGGATGGAGAGAGATTGAGACGAAACTGAGTAAGCATTCAGAAGTGGACAAAACCGAGCGTTATTCGCGCCACATGAATTACAAGAACCGAAAAAGTTTTATATTGCTGTGCACCGTGTCATGTGCTGTTCTGAATTGTTGATATGACGTCGTTTTCTACTGTTTTCTCACTTTCTGAAAAGAGCATATCTGTATGGCCAAGAGCGAGGAAAACTTCGAAACGACGTCAGATGAGTATATATATCTAGACGGTACTAAGCATCATTCAGTAAGCAGTGATCAAATGAAATGCTGCAGGAGTCATGTGAAGTTGTGCATCACTCTCTTCCCTCGTCCAGGGGATGACATTTTATTTTATTATATTTTGCATTACTTTATTTTATCTCACTCACGTCATCTAACATATCACAACTCACGCGCGGCAGATGGGCTTCTTTAAATGTCAAAGTAATGACCAGTACAGAAGTACATTGTTCTGACTATTTCATACAAGAATGCTCTCCCAGATGCTAACTGTTTAGATATTGGCGTTTTAATGGCTATGGAGCTATGGAGTATATGTTTTTCACATGTTCTGCCTGCCCTAGCTTTTATTCTCCCTTTTTCAGCTTAGAAATCCGCAGGAATCGTCGCCGAGGTCGCAGTCGAGCATGGGCCTGCCTCTGCCCGAAGGGCGAAGGTTGAGTCGGGATTTCGAAATCCCCGCGGAGGTGGATGAACTCGGCTCTATGACGTTCGCATCGGCCACACCTCAGAAGACGCTGCCGTTTGGCTCACAGAACGTTTACAGTCCAAGGAAGAGCTCATTGCAAACTGATTTACTGTCGGCTGCTGACTCCATCACAAACACCATGACGACGCTAGTCAAAGAGCTCGGATCAGGTAACAACAAAACGAAATGACCACTTTCCTTTCTCTATCCTTTTAACTCTTTTATGCATTTAGAAGAAGCCATGAACACTACAGCGGAAAACGGGGAATCCGGTGAGTCTGGTGGTAGCTTATGATCTATTTTATACATATTTTCCGTCGGTTCTAGAGTCAAAAAATGCTGAAACACCTGATGTAGGCTGAAACCAGCTTCCTGGTTTGTTCGAATTACATTTCGCGTCATCAAGTGTGGCCGTTTTTACTTGTTAAGATCTGTACACACTACATTATTCTGATTGACTGACTGCGTTAAAATGCGATTTTTTGGTATAATATGTTTCTGCAAATCTGAGCCCTGCGGACACTAGCGTTCTGCCGCACATTTGTTTATCGTCCGTGGGCGGAACGTTAGTCCTCATTCGTCGTTCTTGTAAGACGACGGGGCGATGGATGCTCAGGCTTCTTGGATCCGGCCGTTGTTTGATCTTGTAATCAAACGCGTGTGGCATTATCGTTTATATTTTTCGATCCGTTTCTGTGTTTATCATTTTCATGTTCTGTTTCACTTGTACATCATTCGTCTAAATTAAAGCGCGCGAAACGCCGTTTGATCACTGAACGGCGTACTATCCAACAAGTTGTTCAGCTGCAACATTTGGCTTTAATCTGGAACGAATTCTGATTAGTTTTAAGCTTAAAAGCCAGGAAGTTTTTTACGGGATGATGCTGCATCAAAATATATGCAAATTTTGCAGCTTTTCAAATCATGTTCGATGCGTCATCACGGACAGAATTATAAGACAAAACATTACAGTATACATCGGTACAGTCAGGTACAAACTTCAGCATAGAGGGCTTTTCCTGATAACTTCTTTCCAGTGCGAACTTAGTTCCATACCGACATCTTAATTCATCCACTAGTTTGATGGGCCAATGATAAACCCGTCCTCCGGTTTAGAATTCTTTTTCTCGCTGATGCGTGATTCACTGTCTCCGAGTTCTTTTCGAATTCCTTCTTTATCACCTAGAGATCTGTCAGTGTCATCGCTCCTTACTTTTCTGTATTTCTCCACCTGATATAAATCAACGTTGCACACTGTTGTCAGTTTACTGATGTTCTTTCTCTACAGTGTTACCGGTTTCTCCAGTGCATGACAAGTGAAGTCGCACTCTCAAGTTAGGACATAGATTCAATCTTAAGATTTTGACTCAATGTTTTCAATCTGTACCCTCTAGCTCTGCAATGTTTTTCGAGGTGTGAATCAGCCGTATTCCCTTTGGGACAGTTCTCTGCAACGTCTCGCTTACAGCCTGCCGCCTACTCCATACTTCACTATGGAACAATGGTGCTGGCGTTGAAATTTTGTTGTTCACTCCTAGTTCTTCAATTGTTTTAATGTTTTTTCATTCAGTCGTCTAACGTAGCCGCTTTTTTGAAAGCTCCAAATATAAGCCAGTTCCTCTTAGATACTAATGTTGTCTGAGTTCAGTTCGAAGCATCTACTGACTAAATGGCGATGCCCTTATTCACACAATGTATGGTTCGAATCAGACTGCAGGAATTTATTGATACATATTGGCTTATGCAGCACCTCAGCAACGTACTTGTTTACCTCTCTGGTGACTTGTTCATTCAGAAAGGGCCTAGAGTGTTTTAAGTTAAAGCGCACAACCAGCATTTCACTCATATACGAATGCAACGTTATGAGACCTTAAAATGATACTAAGTCGCTATCTGCCGTTGAAACACTACCAGTGAAGTGCAGCATTATTGAACTGTATTCCTCCAGAAGTTGTTGTCTAGCAATTGCCAGACCTTTCAGATGCTAAACTCGTGATTTCATCGTGTGCAAATTCAAAAAATTCCTTGAAAGGCTGAGTAATCAGTCGTGTCTATTTTCATGAGCAACGGTAGTTGCTATCAGCACTGAATGGTGTCGTCATAAATTACGAGCAGCAGAGAGTTATGTAAAAAGTTGAGGCGAAACAGACATTTTCATACTTATTGATTCACGATTAAACTGTTTACAATCAGCTTTCTCTCCACCCTGCCTCTCTGAGAACTGTTGTGAGAAATAGCTTTCCTGGCCGACGATAACGGCGATAGTCGTAAAGAATGTGAAGGTATTGCTACACATACGTGACTTACATCGAGTACCTCAGTCATATGGAGTGATGCGTTCGCCTAAGCTAGGTCTGGACTTGGGTAATCGTTTTCATCATAGGCGATATTCCGTCTTGCTCATTGCTGACAAAAAGCAATTTACCAATAAATGTATGAAAAACGGATTCTGCCTATTCTGAATTCCATCCTCCAGGTTCACTCGTTTGATGTGGCGGTGTTTTGCAGCATCAGCAACTTGGACACTCTTATAACTTCAGAGCGCGCAAAATAGTAAAGTAGTTAAATGACGAAACGCCATTCTGCAAATTAGTCTGTACATCCGAGTTTGCTGACATTGTGTCTTTAACAGCTATTATAAGGAAGGATGTTTTTCATGTTTGCTTAGTTTATTTATCGACAGTAACACGGGATTTCGATGTGTTCTTCTGTTAGCACTGCACTACCTGAACCATTTTTAAGTGCGAATTTTTCTTACAGCTATAATCACGATATTTTAGTATTTCTGGTTGAAAAGCAGGATGGGGAATGATTAAATGCAATGAAAAAAATATGGCTAATCGAATGATTGAGCAATATTAGCATTTTGGCCCGCATCTTACGGGTCTTCTTCAAAGTAAAGAAGTGTGTTATCTTCGGAGTCCTTTATGTCGTTCTGATTCAGAAGACCTTCTGACTCCAAACCTACCAACTACAACAAGACGTTCGAAGTCAATCACCCTCAAGCTCTCTTAGCTTGAAGAAGCTGGGCGAATCATCCGATGACGCGTTGTATATTAATAACCTATGTTTTGCTGCTGTCAGTATGGTCGCCAAGTCGCGAACGAAATACTCCATTAGTCTTCCATTTTAAACAGCAGTTACTCTATTTTATGAATTCCTTAGATGCCAAAGATGGTTTAGAATTCCCCTCAGGAAGAGGTTAACAACTCTTTAGATGCCTTTCCTTGATTCGCTGTTCTAGCGCGATATTTCTATGTACAGAAAGCCTACGCCTACTCGTTCTAAATGCTATGTAAATCTGGCTTCTATCAGACCAGGTTTATAAGTCCCTTGACATGCACCATTTGGTGCACCTAAATGTTCCGTTAATGCTTCCATTCTTGTTACAGAATTTAAATATCTATGATACCATTGTAAATAACAGCTATTCTGCTAACTTAATTGATTCCAGGATTGAACGTTTGCTAGTGCGTTTGCGGTACCATTGAAAGCAGCAAATAGCACGGTTTATTTGTGCACGACGCAGCTTTCCAATCCTGTCAGTTACTAATACGTTTCAAATTCGAATTTACACGGCCGAAAGACACCGTATAAAGTATGTCTGTTATGAATGAAGCAGTCGCCGGGTTCTACCGCAACAATGCACCGTTCCCTTGTTTCCAATCGCCTAAACAGACCACGTAAACAGGCCACGATTCCATGATATTTTAGAGCCTGCAGTGCGTAGGATGCAAGACCGCGTTACTAAATTGGGCTCAAGAACGGAATGTTACCTCACAAACAAGATTGGTCACTATTGTAAAGCCAATATATAGAAAGAAACAACTCCGATGTTTTGAAGTGGCTAACAAGAACGGTAGCTTCAATCCAGCTGGTAAAAAATACGTTTAAGCAAGTGATACCGCATTCGCACATCGAAACCTCACCAGATGAAGTAAGTTAGCACGGCCGGCTACTTTACACTGATGCTGCGGTAGTTTAAGACGAATTAAATCTCGCTTGATTCACTTGCACCGGCCAGTGATCAGTGACGAGTCGCACCGGCCGCAACACGCCCGCCACACCTGTTGGTATCGAGCCGTTTCTTTGCAAGCACGGTCTTCCCAGATGCATGCTCACCATCATCCCATGGTAGACGACCAAGCGGCCTCGTTCGCCCGCAAAGGAACCAGTCAATCGATCATCGTCGATTACCCCCCCCCCGTAGTTCAGCCGACCCAAATGCCCAGCCCTCGATACCTTCTCCTTTCTGCTTTCGAGGTGACGTTCTTCACTCCGTCCGCAATGTGACATCATGTTAGGGATGTGATTGCGACACGAAATCCCTGTAATTTTTTTCTCTCAGTGACAGACAGCTGACGCTCTTCAACAATAGTGTGTGATCTCGTCTAACAGCCATCAAAATCGCCAGCAGGACGGTGCAACTGAAGACGTGGATGCGAGTTTCTTTCCTGATGTTGCAAAGGACAGCGACTTTGATGGTACGCCGGAATGCGCGCCAATCGATCCTCCTTGTCCGCTGAATCTCTTCAGCCTGATCACGCCACATGTTGAACTCTTGGCCCAGGTAAATACATCGACTTCGTTCTTCTCGCCGTTTAATATTGCCCGGCTCTCAGACATGGCATTCGATTGCAATTTGCTCGTCTTTGATTGATTGATTCGCAGTCCCACTTCTGCACTATTCTTTCGTGCTCTTGCAGTATTTCTTGAACCTGCCGACTGGCGTTTTCTGCAAACATAATGTCATCAGCGAACCACAGGTGACTGAGCTGTTCACCGTTGAAGTTAATGCTACCTTTACAGGTCATTCTTCGGAACATCATTTCCACACAGGCAGTGTCGAGTATGGGGAGATAGCGTCACACTTTATTTCACACTAGTTAATACCGGAATCCAGAGAAGGTGTCGAACAATGCGATATTTATGAAGCAGCTAGAGCTCGCTTCCTTTAGCAGGTTGATGCAACGGGAATCGATGCCCTGTTCTGTCGGTGCAGACCACAATACGTTGTAGCCGACAGCGTCAAACGCTTTCTTGTAGTCTACGAAGGCTATATACGATGGCAATAAGAGCTATCTGAATGTTTTCCTATGAACTGAGGAGTTCTTCAAGGAGATGTGTTTTCGCTTCGCCTTTGCTACTGAACCTTGTTCGACTTTTTCCTGTAAAACAGTGCCGACCCTGGCAAAGATGATGGTTTCATTCTCGAGGGAAGACACCGTTCAAGATATCAGGATATCAGGATAGATATCTTACTGACTTGAGAGCATGCTGATCATATCATCCTGA